ATTTGACCTGAAACAGAGAAAATTAATTGCTTTTGTACAAGTGAGTCAAATTACTTAACAGGAAAAATACAGATATCTTCAGCAATAATTATAAGTGGCAATGTTTGAGTACTCGCTCATTTTGAATGGCAGTTAGCTCAGGCCTCTGACAGGAGTAAGTGCTGCCAAATATGGCTAAGGGAAGTGAAAGTTTGGGTTAAATTCCTTGCTTCTCTCTCCATGATAGATGCATAACTTGGAGTGTCCAGAGACCTCAGCTCCCAGTTATTTACACACTCAGCTTCCTGGATCGGTTGGGTTTTGTGTATGGTTTTAAAGTCAGGCAGATAATGAGTAATATCACCAACACAGGGTTGGTGGCTCATATGATACTGAAATAAGATGAACATAGTCTTCTCTCTGGCTGGTGGGTTTAGAGTGAGTGATGTTTGAAGAAACTTAGATGGGTAGTAAAAATGGTCTGGGATTGGTTCTCCCTGTAGCTAGCTCTTGGTGAGACATTAATTTTAATGTAATCTTTTCACATATACTAATAGAGAGTTAGGATTTGATATTTGCCAGAAATCTGGGACATGGTGTACATGTTAGCCTATATCCTTTAGTAATCAGTGAAAGGTATCGATTACCATAGACTGTGGTAATCCCTCTATAAACACACAATTCTGATTTACATATAACCATACTCAGATAAAATTAAAGCTACAAATTAAATCATTCCAATTTAGGAGGCATGGATGAATGAGTGTTGGCATTATAATTCAGCTGTTAAAAATCAGATGTGTTCAGCTGGTAGTGTTAAGTATGTGTCAGCCATTCCAGTATTTGACCAGGAGAAAAACTGGTAATTTCTGGTAGAGCACAAACTAAGAAGCCAGGAACAAATCATTCTGGAGAAATCCTTGATGAAACCTCAACCTCAGACACGGATGGGGTTATCCTACCAGTTGCCTAAGCAGAAAAGCATACTGCTTTCCTGTCTGGCTGGGGAAGCACAAAATAGAATTAAGCTGAGCAAAAGTTCCAGAATTAAGATCTCTTTAAATGCCTCAAGTGTGCTAATGATTTTTCAGCCCAATATAGCCCATTGCCACAACACTGTTTCCATACAACACAACCTGGTAAGTGCAAATTGCTTCATTTCAGAGGAATTTCTACTTCTCTGGCTGAACATAGCAGACATAAAATCATGTTTAGCCAAGAAATCAGCCAAGAAACTATTCAAAAAAGTACAGATGTTCAGATCCCTGGTCTAGTTCCCTAACTTCCCCATTAGCACCCAATCCTCTATTTTGATGCTTTGCTTAGCTTCTTGTCTTTGAACTCCCACCTTATGGGGGTACTGATCCCTTTGAAATATTTATTTGCTGGCCTACTCATCTTTAAGACTAGGGCTTTATAGCCATAAAGTGTAGCAATCTAACTACAAACAAAAGCATGAAAGCAACTATCTGTCCTTATTTGACATTCTGACAACCAAATCAACACTATACTCCATGCCAATTTTACAAAAGTGTGATGTGTGCTGGTAAAGCAAAGTTTGGGCTCACAGCCCTGAGTGCGGAGTGGAGCCTTGCCCATGTAAAAACAAAAATGAGACAATCTCTCTCTGTTTGGACCACTTGTCTGCACTAGAAAGGTAAAATAATGTTACTAAAACTACATTAAACAGCCTTGCATTCAGCATAAATAGGAACTGCCATATTTAATAGAAGACGAGTACTGGGAGATGTCTGCAGGCTTTATGGCAGGTTTGCTTAATAAATACCCTCCAATTTCTACAGCTTTTCTCATCTTTCCTGTTTGTGAGTTACGTATAGAAAGCCCTCAGAGCAGGATAAGGCTTTATACCAAGCACTGCTGAGCACATGCAAGCAGAAGCAGCTGGTTGGGAGGCACTTGGACATTGCATGATGATGACTCTGTCCTCTCTGTCTGTGGCAAGATCTGGTTTCTTTGCAGAGATTATTTACAAAAAGGGAGCCAGCCCTTCACCTTTATGCCTATTGAAGACAAATTTTCTTCTTATTCTTCATTTATTGATCACAGCATGTTTTGTTCTAAAATTATGTGTGCCATAATATTGCTGTTGCTAAATATATGCCAAGCCTCTTGACTCACCATAAAAAAATACTCTTGTTTCTCATTGACCCCTAGCTGAAGCCTCATTTTTAACTCTATGAATCACTGTGGACACTTAACCTATTTCTTTTTCTGCATGTAGGAAGCTCAGGATCTTGAAGCAGGAATTTACTTTGTTCAATAAAAGTATGGCTCATTAATGTGGTTGGGTGCTGATATATCCATTGAGCTGCACCTTACCCAACACCTATGAAATGAAATGTACACCAGCAAAGTTCTGATTGAAGGAAGGCAAATGTGTTCCTAATATGACACACTCATCTATCAGAAATTTTAAGCACTTTTTCCTATTGCTCCCTCATGCTGCACAGTCACTGATAAAATACTATTTTCAGTTTGGTAATAAGCTGTACTGATCTTTTTAGTGGAACTTGTATGAATTAGTTTTCATCTTGTCTTTAAGTGTAAGCCTTACTTGAATCAAGCAACTCCACAGGCTTCGTGGAACCAACATGTAGGCAAAATGGGCTGAGGGAAAGCACAGAGTACATTTAAGGTGCTCACTGGAAAAGGTGAGGTAAAGATAAAAGGTAAAGCAGAAGGTCCTTTGTTGTGCATGAAAAGGAGGAAGGAAAGGTTCAGGTAGCATCCAGTATTTTATGTCAGGGAGAGGTATATTTTACCTACCCAACATGACCACACACTATTTTCCCCATGTTATTGCAAAAAATTTTCACTTCTAAACTCATATATTTAAATACTTAGAAAACAGCTACGATTTAACAGGCTATGTGGGACAGAAGTGGGAATTTAGGCAGGTAATGAGTAGCCTGAGAAAGAAAGCAGAAGACTATGCCTTTCCTACCAGGCAGGGAAGGCCAGTTGCAGTGAATATTACTAGCAAATTGGTAACCGTTTAGTAGTATTTTACTAAAAATTGTAGCAAATACTTAGGATTTGAAAGTATTAGTACCTAACATGCTAGTATTAAAAAAGATAGCAACAAACAGTGAATCTGGAGTGGCTCTCTAAGATTCCATGTTTCTGCAGCATGGGAGTTATTTGGGTGTAAAATCTACAATGAACATGGAAACAGAAACACTGCTGGGGAGTAATAATTTTCAGTTTTGTTAAAGTGAAGTGTCAAAAGACAGAAGGAAGATAAGTAATATGAAAGTGTCAATCCTTTAGAGTATCTTTACTTTCTAGCATTTTACTGCCTGCCTCTGATGGGCACAGCGCACAGTACTGGGGCTCTGCTTCCACATTTCTGCAACCATGTTGGCTTCAATGAAACTACATCAAACAGGAACCTGCTTCTTGCTGCCATCAAAAATAAAATTACATCCTCCTTTTCTCAGAACATTTAACAAATGCACAAAGTCCTTTTACTCTGGGATTGCATGGGCTTGGACAGAAAGCAGAGTCGCTGTGCAAAAGATGTAGAGGCTTCCTGCAACCCTGTATCTCTGCATTACTGAAAGGTTGGGAGGACTTGCTACGAGAGACCATAATCACAAAATTCACTGTATTTTGTTTTAGCTTACACATAAGGTAAAAAACATACAGCCAGAGGGAATTATCTCTTTGAACACTATCCTGCCTTGAAATTCCCATTTTCAGTCAAGACAAATGAGAAGCTGAGAGCTGACTGCCTGCTCTAGCTATGCCTGATCTCTTGACAGCTCCCCACTCAGATTGTTGCACCAAGGGGCTGTGATGAGGCAAAGATGCCTGCCGCTCCCAGGGGAAGGAACAAAGTGTGAACTAATGGTGCTGGGGTCACTCAGCTGCTCCTGTGCCTTTTTATGGACTTGGGACATACAGCTGTGAAACTAAAGAGGTCACATGAAGCCCGGTTCCCCTGTCCTTCTCTGCGAAAAAGCAGGTGCATCTCCTCTCCGACTGCTCTGAGATGCTGAGATAATTCCCACCAGGAACAGTCCTGCCATAATCCTTTTAATGCACAGCACAGCCAATGGAGGACATTACGAGATTAAGGTGGGCTGCTGCGCCAATAATACCTTCTGCAGCATTTTATGTCTTACATCATACATAGAGTCATTGCCTCCCAAACAGCTCTACTGTGTATGCTAGACATTGGACAACTGGATATGTATTTGCTTTAGTAGGCCCAAAGGCTATAAAAAAGAGGTCGGCAGGACTCTGCCTTTCTCAGTCTCAGTTTTGATTAGAAAGCATTGCTCTCAGAGAAAACTAGGAAATATTTTCCAAAGTAAAACCAGATGATTAAATTGGGAGAATAGAGAATCACCTTTCTGTTCTGAGCAGCTCTATGTCATAGAGTCACAGAATTGCTTGGGTTGGAAGGGACCTTAATGATCATCTAGTTGCAACCCCCTGCCATGGGCAGGGGCACAATCCACTAAACTGGGTTGCTCCAATCCCCATGCAACCTGGCCTTGAACACTGCCAGGGATGGGGCAGCCACAGCTTCTCTGGGCAACCTGTGCCAGTGTCTCACCACCTTCATAATGAAAAATTTCTTCCTACATCTAATCAAAATCTACCCTTTTTCAGTTTAAAGCCATTAAATTTGTTTACTGCCATACCCACTTTGAAATGAAACAAGAGGTGCTTGGCTTTTCTTATTTCACATGAAGGTAAATGTAAGAGGATGCCGTGGGACTTGTTCGATATGAAAGTTCACATCCCATCAGATTAGAAGGCAAACTTTATTTCCCAAGCTGCCACAAGAAGAAACATTTTCCACTCAGTAAGCCCTACCACAAAACTGAATGTTCCATTTGAAGTGAAAATCCCAGCAGCTCCGTCGCTTCTCCTTGCGCAGCCCCTTCTTACCCTCCCTCCTTTCTGTCACCTCTTCTAGGAAACCAGCTTTTACGGGGGAGTTACAAAGGGACGGAATGACTGATGCCGGGCTCCGACAACCTTTCCCGCTCGCACCGGTCCGGGGGCGCGGCGGCGGGAGTGGTGCACGGGGCCGCCCCGGTGCCCATTGGCTCTGCTGCGGCCCGGGCTCGACGCGGCCCCATAAAGGCAGCGGGTCGGTCCGTCCATCCGCTCGGCTGCCGCTGCCCAGCCATGCCCTCTCCGCAACACGCCCTGCCCTGGCTGCTCGCCGCCTGCTGCCTCTGCGCCCTCCCGCGGGGCTCAGGTACGTCCCGCCCCGGCACCGAGAGAACACATAAGAGACCCCACCCGAACCTCCCCTCGAGGGGCGCCGTCGGGGCTGGGCTCTGCGGCTTCCCCGCTCAGCCGTATCCCCCTGTGCTGTGTCCCCGCAGGGTTCCCCCAGCCTTTTTCGCTCTCCTGGGACGGCGCGGACCTGTCCAAAAGCCAGGTAGGTCTGTCTTTGCCTTCCCCGCCCGAAAGCGATGCGCGATGGAGAGGCAGGACAGAGACGGTCCAGCCCGGGCTGGCTGCGGGAGGTGGGAAATGGGACTCGCGCACGGCAGGGAAATGAGGTAGGGAATTGGCAGCGGGCTGGAAATGCGTCCTGAAATCCCTTGGAGGGGGGTGGGGGGTGATGAAGAGAGAAGGGAGGCTGAAACCTTTTGCTACTCGCAGAAGAAGGTGAGACAGGTGCAGGCACAGTGGGATGTGTAGAATAGGATACCTGTGTCAGGAAAAACTGGGCAGGCTAATAACCACCCAGTCCTGGCTGCCTGCGCTAAAAAGCATGTCCCAAGGTATGACAGACCTAGTGTTAATGTCTTTACTTTTTTTAAAGCAGCTGGCATTGTGTTTCAGTCAGTGGATGGAACTGTCTAATCAACCCCAGGTAAATTGACTTTAGTAATGTGTTTGATCTGCTGGGACTCTCCCTTCCAGACATACTAATTGTGCTGTGTAGCCCTTAGCATTGATGTCTGCAGGTGGAAGACAGAGAGCTGGAGGCTCTGGAAAGCAGAGTGACTTTGCTGGTGTGTGTGCTCTCCTCCCTGCAGAGCTAGCTCAGACCTAGGCAAAGAAAAAAGTGCTTTTCTTCCCATCACAGTGGTAGCTAGCACTGGGGCAAGAAGTAGTGCTACTCAGTGCTGCAGGAGTTATGGGCAGCATCCTGCCTGGTCCCAGCTTGGTGATGGTGGGTGGATGGGTTTTTTCCAGGGTGCTCAGAGGGCAGGGGAGGGAGAGGAAGTTTTCACAGTTCATTTCTGCTGTGGTGTCTCTGGCCCAGAGCTTGCAAATGGTTTAAAAACACCCTCAGTAGCTTTGAAAGATCATCCCTGTTACATTTGATACCCAACACAAGGGTCATTTTCAAAGGGGAGAGAAAAGTCTGCAAGATCAGGAATGACCTGGAAACTTTGAACATTCTATGCTGAATTTTTCCTTCTGAATTCTTTGTCTTGTAAACCAAAGCTTGTGGAAAATAGTTCCCAGAATCAGTTATTCAGGTATCTTACATTTTCTTTCTTTGGAGCTGTAGTTGTTTCCTATCAAATAGGATTGCATGCATCAGCAATCCCCGTCCCATGGCAGTGAGTATGGGACAGTACTTTTCAGTATATGATTAAAGATTATAGTACTGATTGTCTGAAATGGTTGTGAAAGAAAATGTGTGTAAATATGCCAAACCCCCAAGCTTTTTTTACAACATAGAAAGATGTATTTTAAGTGTAAGGGGCTGATTTAGATCTTTATAGAACAAGACTGTTCACAACATCAGTAGGTTGTGTGTATTGTCCTCATACAAAATACTAGATTTGCAGCTCATAATAGAATCATAAGTCTTTCCCTGCTCAGAGTGGTTTTACTGGAACCCTGTTTCACAGTATTGATCTAAATCATGCTGGGATCAGGATCAAGCCTTTTCTTTATCAAACTACACCACATCGTCTCCATAAGTGTATTGTATACTGTTTGGTTTTGCAGATCTCCAGCACTGTTTTGGATCTCTGTTATTCCATATTCAATAGCATGCAAACAAATGAGGTAAGGTATATTTGTTTCTTTTATTTCAAAGCACCTCCTTCTTAACCTTAAAAAGCAACCCCTCCAAACTCAACTTTTGGACATTTCTCTCCAAACAATAATGTATAATCTGATAGTGTCATGGTTTAGGAGCTGTAAGATAGTATAGAAAAGATCATTTCTTCTTGTTAGTAACTTGCATGTAATTCTCAGCTCCATTAATCTGTACATGAAATTGCTGTTTTTCAGAGCTCAAGAACCAAAACATCCACTTACTTCTGGGGTCAGTATTTTAACCTGTCACTTTTGACTAATACAGGGTTAAATATGTTAAAAATATGCATAACATTGGATCAACAGCATATTTAATATCATGCTAAACATAGAATCATAGAATGGTTTGGGTTGGAAGGGACCTTAAAGATCACCTAATTCCAACCCCACTGCCATGGGTAGGGACACTTTCCATTAGACCAGGAGGAATATGAGACGTAGTATGCCCCCACTAGAACATGGAGGCATATGACTTGCTTTACTGACCTTAATGCTGTGTTTGAATTTGGGTGTTTTTTTGTGCTTCTGACTTGCATCCAAAAGATTAAGTTGATTAAGGGTGTAGTTCTTTCTTATTGGTGCAGACATATTAGGACCTAGCTCAATGTCAGCTCTGCTTTATATAACTTTTTTATCACCACCAGTTTATTAAAAGCCTTTCCCATAAAATTCACTCAGCTCCTGGGTATGTTAAAAAGGCCAATTTACTTGCGGAGTTTGAGTCCTTTGTTGTTTCAAATCACAAGCAGAGCCTTCAAGACAACAATAAAGTATTTTGACATGTACTTCAATATCTCTTCTTGCCAGCATGCTTTCCTAAAGCAGCCATAAAACTCCACAATACTGAAGCTGATTGTATAAAAAATTCCAGCATTTAAGTCTTGAAAGTCTACTAAATGTTTTTGAGTTCAGTATTGCTTCCTATGCTGCTGCAGCTTGGCTAATGAGGGGACATTCAGAATCATACAGTAACTTTAAATGGAGCCCTATTCCTGGTTACTATTCACACTCTGTGCCCTCAAGACTGGGAGCTGAAACGGGTACAGTATTCTGTTGAGAGATATGACTAATATCAGCTCCATATCTGCAATACGATTTCTAGGTGTGGTCTGATTAAGTGGCAGATCAAATGTATGTGTGCAATGTGGAAAAAGGACTATGCCAAATAGCAAGTTTTACCCAACTGGTTAAATCTCTTATTACATGAAGTTGTACTTTCTCTCTCAGTCCACAAGGAATCTTGAGAAGACACTGCAGACATGCGTCTATATGTAGTGCACCTACTGAAACAGTTATGAAATCCTACTGATTTTAGCTGGACTTAAACTTTCTACATGAGCCTATATTTATGTGGATCTTTTAAAACAAATTGGGTTCATTAAGTTATAGATTATGTAGAGAGAATAGATGGTGTTTCAAGAGGAGAAATGAGTTCTCGGAACTAGAAAGGCAAAGTCAATGGCAATTTGGGTGTTAATGGGACTTGAATTCCATCTGGAGAATTTAAAATCTTTTGGGAGAACTAACAGACTATTTAACTTCAACGTCTAATCTTTGGGTAAATCTTGCAGATGGCACTTTCAAAAGAATAAAAAAGAGCTGTCTAAATGTGGCTGCATAGCAATCATTTCTGTAAGAGTTTCAAATTTCCATCCTGAAGTCAAGCCAACACACTGGTTAGAAGCTTAGTTTTTGCCATGTAAACTCTAACCTGTTACAAATTAGCTGGGATATTTGAAACTGCAGGCTAAGTCATGAGTCAGTCTGTATCTTTGTGTGGTATATAATAATCTTGTAACAAAACTAGCATTCACACTATCTCTTTGCTTTAGTCTCCTCCTTTGCATGGTTTAAAGCACCTTGATTGAGCACTTTTTTCTTTCATTGTATTTTATAGCCCTGTAAGTTGATGTCAGTTGCTCTATAAATTACTGTCTTGAGGCCTGAATCACAGAAATCCTTGTCTTATACTCTGAATCACGATTCTTTAATTGTTGCTTGTGTATTTTGGCTTTTATAATTCCTCCTCTCCAGTTTCATCTGTATGCTTTTCCTGTGCTCTCATCCCCTGTTTTCATGTCCTTGGTCATTATATGTACCTGCTCCAGGTAACTAAATCTGTTCACTGTTCAGTCTAATTCACTGATGTAACTGTGGCTGCAGCACACAGAGCTATCCTAGCTGGGAACAGGTAGCCCAGCAGCTGTGCCATTGGCAGGAAGGTTCCCAGACGTGGCTGATTTGCTAGACTGCTAGTTCAGGGTTTGGTTAGACACAGAGTGCCCGTCATGAGGCAAGATTCTATTCCTTGGTGTAAGACTGAGTAATAAAAATGAGCAGTTTCCTGAAGAATAAAGGGTGCAGGGGAAGGCTTAAAACCAGCAATCATGCCTGTGTTAAAAACAAGGGCAGCCTGAAAAGTGAAGAGCAGCCGCATTTTAACAAGGTAAGAGCTATGTGTGGAATTCAACCCAAAGGAGTGGAATTGCTGCATTCACTCCAGGTTGAGCTCTGCTTCACCTGCCAGAGCACAGCTGTTCTTGGTTGTACAGCAAGGAAAGCATGTTGACTGATTGTAATGAACGGGGTAACATTGGATATCTGTTTGTTACTGTTCTTACATCTGTCTATGGTAAGTGTAAGACTACCTCTTTTTCACATGGAGTGCAGCAACCTCATCAGTGATGGAGAATTTACTGTAACCAACCAAAGAAATTATAGCATTTTGATTAACTTTCACTGTCCACTTGCAGGAATCACAGATTGCTGCTGCAAAGTTTACAAAGAAGGTAGGTGAATGTGAAGACAAGTGAGTTACAGTGGACAGGAAAGTATGGCCTGTTTTTTTTGCTGCTTTTTATAAAGTCAGCTGGATTTGTTTGTTTTCCAATGGTTGGGAAGTGAGCTGTGCTGACCTTGTTATTGCAAAGCAATCCAATATGAGTAAAGCTTTCTTTTATACATTTTCTAAAGCCGTTGAATCTTTAATTCTGGTAATATAGTATATGTGCACTAGGCACAATGGTTAGTTCTTGACAATGCCCTTTGGGTATTAATTTTTAATCATCATTCCAGATGAATGGACATCAGGAATTAACAACATCTTGTTGTTTACGTGCTGCCGAAACAGCCCCTGAATTATTGATATTCTAATGGAATGACACTGAAACTTGTCAACAGGCCTATGAACTGTGTTTAAAGTATCGTGTTATTGTGTTTTATTTTGCAGGATAGTCATGCGACTCTGGGACGGCCTTTTTTCCTTTTCAGGGTATCTGAATCTCTTACTTAAAGAATCTGAATCACAGACAACGTGATGTATTACATGAACAGCTGTTTCCCTTCACAAATTCTCTCTGCACTTCTGAGTAGAGGCCAAATATCCTTTGTTTGAAAGCTTAGGTTGCTGTATGCTTATAAATCTCTGGTCCCATTAAAAGATGACAAGATAATGAGATCTGGGACAGTAATGGATTAAACACTTTTTTATTTGAAGAGGTGACTCTGCAAATGTTTTATCTTGAGCCAAATTATCCAAAGTAGCATGTGGCCTGTATCTCCAAGGTGCACTGATCCTAAATTTGTTAGATAAAAGGTGTGTGGGCTGAATGTCCACTTGGTCAGAAAGGTCTTGCCAGAAAGTGATGGCACACTGTAGCAGGGCAAAAAGCCAAAGCAATATTAGGGACATCATCATAATATCTTTTGTGTGTCTTGCTGAACTATAGTATGGTCTAATTTTTTTTGTTTGACATACACTGATTAACACCAGATCAGTTTTCAGTAACTAAAAAGTTATAAAGTAGGTCATAGCAGGTAACAAGAGTCCCAGTTCAGCTGCAATTTGCATTTTGGCTCACTTCAAATGTGTCTGGCCAGGTGCTTTCAGTGGTGGTATTTATATCCTCTTGCTTAGGCACCTGCATATAGTATCCCAGTGAATTGGGACCAAGATCCTTAATGAGAGTAATTAAAGCCAGAATGTTTAGCTGTTTGGCCAGAGGCTGAAGGAGTATTTCTCAAATTCAAAGGCAAAACCCACCCTGCACAGATCCCCTGGTATTTGACCTCTTGTCCCTTTAAAGGAAATCTTCTTATGTACTCTGTCTGCATGCCAGGAGATGTATTTTGGTGTGCTTATAAACCTGGTATCTCACACTTCTGCACAACCATATGATTTTTATATTTTTCAGCCTCGGAATGGAAGAACTGTTGAAAGCAGTGGTAAGTAGGCATCCAAAAGGGACAAGAACTTGTTCTGGGTTGTTATTACTAATGATCTTCATGACAGAAGGAGTTACTGCAACTTATTACAAACCTAGACCAACACATGAGTGTTTCATATTGTCACCAGGAGGTTTTTGGGCAGAAATGCATGTTTTTTCATGCTCAAAGACTTCCAGTATACGCTCTTGACAAGTACTGTTTTACTCTCTCTTTAAGGTTCAGTAAGGAGGAGCTTTCCTCCTCTGCAAAATTATGGAAATGGTACAACAATTATAAAGTTTAAAACCAGAGGGTATAAATTGTACTTGGAACACAAAAGCTAGACTCCTCTCTGTTCCAAGAGACTATCAGTCACCTAATCTTACACAAGAGCCCACTAATACAGATCTCTGCATGCAGGTGAGAGTTATCCTCACATCAGAATTAGGACCTGCCTTGGGGTAAGCTAACTAGAAAGAGTAGGGGTGGGGATATAAGGAAGGAAGATGGCGAGATCTAATAATACCACCTAGCACTTGCATATCCATCTTTGAACGTGTCTATTAAAGGTCTTAACAGGAAATGGACAAGACGGTCAATGTTCATGTGTCCCCTCCTTCAGTCTCTCATCTTCCAACTTTTTGTCCTGCAGTAAAGATCACAGTTTTCAGTTTGCAATGTAAGAATTACTTCCAGCTGTTGATTGAAAGGGGTGAGGTTTTCTGGGGAACAGAACAGAAGAATAGAAAAAGAAAAAAAATAACAACAAAACTCTGCAAAGGAAACCCAAGGAAAGAGAAATTTTGCTGTATATTCAGGATTAAACCATTTCAGAAAGAAACGAACCAAAGACTTGGTAGAGTGTTGTAGAGCAGCATTGCTACTTGCTTGCTCTGGTCCTGGGCACTGCCCTGGGTGTCCGTTGCTTCTCATGGATGAAAGGAAGATAAGGAGCTAGATGCATCTCTGCTTTCAGACAGTGCAGCTATTCTTGTGTGGTTAAGTCCACATGTGTGCAGGAAATATTTCTTAGCTATGAAACCTTTAGGGGCAGGTAGTGCTGCCCAGATCTCTGTAGAGTAACTGGCAGCACGGGTTTTATTTCAAAACAGTTCAAAACCAATTAGATTAAGCTTGCATGAAAGTACTTCATGCAGAGTACTCTGATGTTGGCAGAATTGCTGGACTATCAACTGCGTATCATTGAAGTGCTGGTGTAGAAGCTACTACTTTGTAAGCACGCCCTGGCTTTGCATGCAGCAGTAAATTCTATCCACAGCTCAGCCCCCTGAACCAACCTGGCTGCAAGGTGCACACCATGCCTCCACACTCTAAAAGAAGTACAGTGAAGTTAGGACATGGTGGAGAGAGAACAGTATGAAGAGGGAGGTTTCATGTTTGAGTACAAGTAACAGGTTAGGCACATATCTGAACTTTCAGACTTTCATCCATCAAACTTCTGCTAGAACTTAAAGCTGTTTCATGTCTAACTTTGAGAAGGACTAAGCATACAGAACTGAATACTAAGTCATATTCAGACCAACATCTCAACATAAAATATAATGTGTTAATTTGTTTCAGAATACCATGGAATATGAAGTTCATTGGTCGACTTACCAGTGCGAAGACTTGGTTTACATAAAGAAACTTCCCATTGCACTAGTTGTCTATTATGTGACTCAGTTGTCTGGATTTTGCTGTTCCATGTAATAAATTTGCAATCATTGATTATTGTTGTACTTTTTTTTATTGAAGTGGGTACTAGACCTCATTGGGCTATAGTGTAGCATTGCATGGTACCAGCTGTATTAAAAGGAAATCAATCATCAGAATATCGACCATTTTCAAATCCAACACTGCATTTTGTAGCATCTTCTTTAATGTGGTCATGAATTACCAGCTTGCCCTTTTGACTAAATAATATGTTTCCCTGGCATTTCACAATATGCATCCCAAACAGCATGATGAAATGTTAGAATCATCATTGATATTTTGATGACTTAATTCATCAGTTCAGTTTTTCATAACTAAGGGCTTGAGTGTGATAACTGCTGAATCCAAAGTACTTTGAAAGAAGAGGATCAAGTACTGCTGTTACACACAGGCACTATATGGTCAGATGTGTGTTTTTCAGCCTTGCCTTACTGGCTATCATAAAGCACAAATGAGTCACTTATGAGAGATATTCTGAACATCTGCCCTTTTTACTGAAATTATGTATTTAAACTTGTGGTCCAGCCAATTGTGTTTGCACTGTGTGCAGTGGGGTGATCTGTTCTGGTAGGTGAAGACATAGATGGGCAGAAAACTTAAAGCAGCTACTTCCTTAGTAAGAAAAAAGCATAGTAAAAGCCAGGGTCTGGAGATGCACACCAGGCTGGAATTCCTCAACACGGAGTCCTACATTGTTGTCTTCTACAAGCCTTTTGTTATTTTCTCTTTCCCTCCTTGATTCCTCAGTCCTAGTACATGGCATGATCCCATCTCAGTTACACTGGTACAGCTGCATGCAAACTGTGTGAAGGCATAAGAATACCTCTGTCTTTAAAAATAAATCCTGAGAAACCTGCCACTTCTGGCCTGTTTCATGTCAAAGGCTAAGCTGAACAGTATCAAGTTTTACTCAGCTCTGCATAAATATTTGTATTGATTTTGGCCAGGATGCAGTTAATTTTCTTCAAGTAGCTTGTATGGTGCTGTGTTTTGGGACTGTGACCAAAAAACACTGTTGATGATAGAGGGATGTTTTGGCTATTACTGAGTAGTGATTACACAGAGTCAAGTCCTTTTCTGTTTCCTACACCACCCCACAAGTGAGCAGACTGGTGGGGTACGAGGAGCTGGGAGGGGACACAGCTGGGACAGCTTACCCCAACTGACCCAAGGGATATTCCATACCATAGGATGTCATGCTCAGCATATACAGCTGGTGAAAGCAGGAGAGAGGGGGACATTTGACGCTAATGCTTTTGTCTTCCCAAGTCACTACTAAACATGACAGAGCCCTGCTTTGCTGGAGATGAACATTTGCATGCTGATGGAACGCAATGGCTTCCTTGTGCTTTGCTTTACCTATTAAACTGTATCTCAACCCATGAGTTTTCTCATGTTTACCCTTCCTTCTCTCCCCCCATCTTGCTTGGGAGGGGGAACGAGTGAGCGGCTGTGTGGGGCTTGAGCTGTTGCTGGTCAGGGTTAACCCACAGCAATACTGTGCCATGGGTAAATCAGGATGTGCTGTCACGATCAGCAGTGGTTTCCTCCACCCATGACAGGTTTCATGAATAACATCTATTTGGTCCTTGAAACTGGTTAAATAAGAAGAAGGTGGTTAAATAATAATAAGGTGGTAATTTGCAGGTAAGTACCTAGCTTAGGTTCCTCAGCTGTATTTCTGTAGTAACTGTGGCTCCTCTGTAAAATGTACAGGAGAGCTCTTGTTCACTGCTCAGTGGGAACCCTTGCTTCCTGGAGGAAGACAAATGTCACCTGTGGAATAGGAGTGGTTAAGAGTATTGAAATGTAGATGATATCCCTGGCCCAAAACTCACCCGGAACTGCAAAATCCACAGCAGAAATTGAGGAGCAGAGTCAAGGGGGAGACAACAACAATTCAAAGCACAGAAAAAATATCTGCAAGAAAAGGAAGTTAAAGCCCAGTTCCCACTGTCAGCAAGAGAAGAGGCAAATAAAGAGTGACATGACAAGGTATGCAACTAATGAGTGTGCTTAGGAGAGTAAATCCAACGCTTATCCATCCTCTTGTAATAAAGAGGAGCAAGGAGGGAGAGTCAATTACACTGAGAGGCAATACATTTAAGCTGCAAAGGAGAACATTTTTTCTAACACTTAATTGACTCCTGAGACCAGTTGCCACAGCTTAGAGCGTGTGGTTAGAGACGGCTCTGCTGGCTCTTGGGAAGACAGGCTTATCCAGGAGCACACACCTTTGTGCTAGATAGCTTTCCTCGAAAATCACTTTAGGCTCACCCAGGACCTCCTGTGTTAAAAGCCTGGCCTGCTCAAGCCAGGCTTAGCAAGGCTTTTCTCTGCAGAACACACAGCAAGGGACCTGGAAATGCATTTGCTGGTGGGGGAGCGAGTGCTGCCTGGCCTTACAACCTGCTGATCACCAAAGAGCCAGAGCAGGAAGCACAAGAGGAAAACCCTCTGACATAGTTTAACTCCATTCAGCAACTAAGCCCCACACAGCTGCTCACTCACTGCCCCCAGGTAAACCTGTGGGTTGAGACAGTTTAATAGGTATAACAAAAGCCATGAGCACGAGCCAAGCAGAACAAGGAATCCATTCACTACTTCCCATGGGCAGGCAGGCAGGTGTTCAGCCATCTCCAGGACAGCAGTGCTACATCATGTGTAAGGGTTATTTGGGGAGAAAAACGCCATCACCCTGAATATCCCCCCTTCCTTCTTCCCCCAGCTATATATGCTGAGCATGATGCTGTATGGTGTGGGGTATCTCTTGGGTCAGCTGGGGTCAGCTGTCCCAGCTGTGCCCCCTCCCAGATCCTCGTGCACCCCCAGCCTACTCACTGGTGGGGTGGTGCGAGGAGAAGAAAAGGCCTTGACCCTGTGCAAGCCACTGCTCAACAATAACTGAAACATCCCTGTGTCATCAACACCATTTCCAGCAGAAATACAAACTATGGAGATCCAAACTAATCCACAAATCCAAATAAATCAACTATGGAGAAAATCAGCTTTATCCCAGCCAAGACCAGCACACCTTCTCTAGTGCCTCGAACAGCCTCGCTCCCTTCTCAGCTGCCATAGGGAAGAACATACTTATTAAATATCCAGACAACAGCAAGCTGGGAGGGACAGCAAGTGCTGGAGGACACAGTCAGCATTCAGGATGGTCTTGGCAAAGATACACCTGGAAAAAATACGTATGGCTCATGGAGGATGTCAGGCAGGTATTACACACACTGAAGAATAATGAGTTGATGTGGAATGAATGAGAAGCTGTAGAGACTATGACATGGGAGGTGTTTCACTGCTGATGGTACAGAAGATTTCATGTAGAGATCAGCACTGGAGAAGAAAGGGGGGCCAACAGGAAAGAGCCCAGCAGAGAGCAAAGGCAGAGGTTTCCTTCAGGAAAGCTGGTGCGCTGAATGGAGTAGGGCTGATTTGCAAGAAGGAAAGTTTGAAAAGGGGAATGATAAAATGTTTCATTTTAAGCTCACCTCTCCTGGCAGCATCCACCGTGGCCATGGGTGGATACTACCAGGAGAGGTGAGCTTAAAACGAGGAAAGATTCTCATTAAATCTGACTATCCGAAACACTGACTGATAGGCAGAGTTACCTTTTCTTGGTCATAAAAATTCACCAGGGGGACTGACACCTCACTTGGAATCCAAGGTACAAAAGTCCCAGCTCTGAAATAACTGCCGGCAGCATTTTCTCTCTTCAGTGTTACATCATGATGCAATGTTTATTCCTAATGACGTTTCATTTAATGAAATAGTAGCACCATTGTTTTGTTGAATATCTAGCATACTTCAGCTTGAAGTTGCTCTGGCTGCTTCTGGAGAAGTGAAGATACAATCTTAGAGAGTCCAGCACTTACATACTTTGCATACTTTTATCCCATGGTAACACTTGTCACACTAACAGCTGTGACAAGTGGACCCTGACTCCCAGAGCTGCAGGGCAGACCTGGGAAGGACACTGTCCTTACTTCTGGAATGTTTGTGTAACATGAGAGAAAACATCTCAGGATGGAAAAGGAAGCATGTGGATTATGGAAAAATAATGGAAAAGCCCATTTGTGACCTGCAGACTCACACTGCACATAAACGGGAGTCCTGTGAAAATTCAATGGGAGAGTTCACACGACTGGCAATAAGGGCTGATTGACAGCCAGTGAAACAACTGTTATGTATGCATGACATGGAATACCATTTAGGAACTAAAACCATGTTAGCTGACTGCTTGTTTTCATGATTCTCAGCAAGTAATGACAAAGAAGTAGCTGTAGAAACCACAGCTCTACCTGCTGGAGATTTAAAACCACTTGCTTAACATAGGCAGTTGGGCAGAAGATACATAACTGCTCGACAGGCTGGCCAAAAGCTGCCAGCATCCTGTTCCAGCTTTTTCCTAGTGCACGTGGGACTGCCAAATGAAGTCCAGCCTCAAGACAGATGTGCTTGTTATTCTAAACACAGCAACAAAATGTTTATTTCTTTGCTGGGATCTTAGAGTTGAGCAGTGATCAGAGGGTCTCTACAGGCAGCCAAGCCGGATTCTCACGTGGAGATCACTATGAAGACTTGTTTCACTTATCTGTTCCGAACACATTGCAGTTGCCACCCCTGTGCCTTATTAAGCAGGGTGAAAACATATGTTTGACTGGGCCGGACTTCATAAACTGCCTTAATCTATACATCTATCACTCTGATGGATTTCTTCACTGAACAACTAGAAGTAGCTGCCAAGTCTCCTTCTCCAGTCATCTCTGGATCTACTTTTGTGCAGAAACAAAAATGTGACTGATCTTATAGCTGGTTATGATTCACCATCTGTATTTTTGACATTTCTCTGGGGCAAAGAACCTTGTACAGCAAACACCATCTATCTATTAGCCTTAAATCTGCTGCAAGATCAGTAGAGAAAGTCTGGAGGAGAGCATATGGCAGACTTGAAAGGAAAATGTTTTTAATACCTTTACACAAAGCTTCTGCACCCAGGGGTTTCTG